ACACATTGGTGTTTATCCTACCAATATACATTAATGTTTAACCCCACCATCCATACATTGGTGTTTATCCTACCAATATACATTAATGTTTAACCCCACCATCCACACATTGCTGTTTATCCTACCAATATACATTAATGTTTAACCCCACCATCCATACATTGGTGTTTATCCTACCAATATACATTAATGTTTAACCCCACCATCCACACATTGCTGTTTACTCTACCAATATACATTAATGTTTAACCCCACCATCTACACATTGCTGTTTATCCTACCAATATACATTAACGTTTAACCCCACCATCCACCCATTGCTGTTTATCCTACCAATATACATTAATGTTTACCCCACCATCCACACATTGCTGTTTATCCTACCAATATACATTAATGTTTAACCCCACCATCCATACATTGGTGTTTATTCTACCAATATACATTAATGTTTAACCCCACCATCCACACATTAATGTTTAACCCCACCACCCATACATTGGTGTTTATGCTACCAATATACATTAATGTTTAACCCCACCATCCACACATTGCTGTTTATCCTACCAATATACATTAATGTTTAACCCCAACATCCATACATTGGTGTTTATCCTACCAATATACATTAAAGTTTAACCCCACCATCCAGACATTGCTGTTTACTCTACCAATATACATTAATGTTTAACCCCACCATCCACACATTGCTGTTTATCCTACCAATATACATTAACGTTTAACCCCACCATCCACACATTGCTGTTTATCCTACCAATATACATTAATGTTTACCCCACCATTCACACATTGCTGTTTATCCAACGATCTACACATCAAGGTTTACCCCACCATTCGCACATTGCTGTTTATCCTACCATTCATACATTAATGTTTACCCCACCATCCACACATTGCTGTTTATCCTACCATTTATACATTAATGTTTACCCAACCATCGACACCTTAATGTTTACCCAACGATATACACATTAATGTTAACCTTACCATCTACATCTTAATGTTGACCCCACCATCTACACCTTAATGTTTACCCCATCACCTACACATTAATGTTTACCCCATCATTTACACATTAATGTTTACCCCACCATCTACACCTTAATGTTTACCCCTCCAGCCAAACATTAATTTCTACCCTACAATCTACATCTTAATGTTTAACCCAACACCTACACCTTAATGTTTACCCCACCATCTACACCTTAATGTTTACCCCACCATCCACTCATTAATGTTTACCCCATCATTTACACCTTAATGTTTACCCCACCATCTACACCTTAATGTTTACCCCATCATCTACACCTTAATGTTTACCCCACCATCTACACCTTAATGTTTACCCCACCATCTACACCTTAATGTTTACCCCACCATCTACACCTTAATGTTTACCCCACCATCTACACCTTAATGTTTACCCCATCACCTACACATTAATGTTTACCCCATCATTTACACATTAATGTTTACCCCACCATCTACACCTTAATGTTTACCCCACCATCTACACCTTAATGTTTACCCCATCATCTACACCTTAATGTTTACCCCATCATTTACACCTTAATGTTTACCCCTCCAGCCAAACATTAATTTCTACCCTACAATCTACATCTTAATGTTTAACCCAACACCTACACCTTAATGTTTACCCCATCATCTACACCTTAATGTTTACTATACCATCCATACAGTAATGTTTACCCCACTACCTACACCTAAATGTCTTAATGTTCATTCTACCATCAACACATTAATGTTCACCCCACAATCTACACCTGAATGTTTACCCCACCGTCTACACCTTAGTGTTTACCCCACAATCTACACCTTAATGTGTACCCCACCATCTACACCTTAATGTGTACCCACCATCTACACCTTAATGTGTACCCCACCATCCACACATTAATGTTTATCCAACGATCCAAACTTGATTTACCTTTTCTGCAGTATGAAAAAAAACTGGATATCCGAATTCGAAACTGCGGAGGGATCCCGGAATCCCGAGGAGCAATTAATGAAAAGTTTGTAACGGTGGGTAAGTAAAATCTGGATCCGATCCCCACGGAGGAATTAGATTCGGATCCCTCCGCGGATTTTGGATCGGGATATACCGGCGTGATAAAGGTACAATAAGAAATATTTCAATGATACTGCAAAATAATATAACAAAAAACACAACAGAAACCTCTAGATAAAAACATATACGGTCTTTAACAATTGACAAGTGTCTTTACCACATGTATTTGGTTATAATTTAACAGAGACTACCAAAAATCTGTCATTATTACACATTTAAAAAAAATACAAAAACCCATCAAGATTTAACTGAAGAAAATGACTCTACTGGACTTTGAAATAAACATGTGGTGGTGTTTCACGATTTTTTAAAATTTAATCCTTCCTCTTTTAATCTCGATCATTTGATATTATACCGTATCAAAGATTTTAGCAATATGTAAAGCTGGCTCAAAATAATTAATTCTTACACAATAATATAGTGCGTCATACATCCGAGTAGACGTCATGAATAGTCCAGAAAAACCCCTGCAATACTTCAACTAAATATGTACAACTGAATTTCAATAAAGAAATAAAAACAGAGAATGTAACATTTTGATAATGTTGAACCTGTTAATTAATGATTTTCGCAAAATTCACAAGAATAATAATATTAAAATAATTCTATATACATTTGAAGCGTCCGAATCGCTATTCTGGATTTACCTTTTACCGGAAACGCTCAAAACCTAAAACTTTGAAAGCCAAAGATGTATAAATAAGTGAAGAGCAATATGACCAAAATGGACCTAAAAGGAATGGTCAAATTCATCTTTAGTCAACCTGAGAGAGTTGGAACCTTAGTTTCTTTATAATACTGATTGTTTCACTGTCATTCGCAAGCGTTTTTTACATAAAAAGGCACCGACGATTCATCTCTTGTGGTTGGGCATGGTTTTTTTTATTAAACATTTCTTGAAAAAAAAAATGTTATTTAGGATAAGTGTACATTTGTACTTTTTTATCATGTTATCATGTGATATCAATGTTCAAATAGCACATATACAATTTTTTGGAACATACAATTTTTTGTGAGTGCAAATTTATTCAATGCTCACATTAAAAGTCTGCCTCATATTCTGACTTACATCTAGAAACTGGCAATAAGGTTCTGTTAGGAACAAAACTTTACGACAAAAGAGATGATTTCAGCTTCCCAATTGTAAACTTAACAGTTTTATGTAGCAACATTCCAACAGCGCCTGCATATGAAGTATATATCTCAAAGTTGATACGATATTCCAAAGCTTTGATTTGTTATCCTGATTTCTTTATAGAGGGAAGCTGCTTACAAGGAAGCTATTTAGCTATGAGTTCCAATTGGTGAAGTTGAAGTCACCCCTTCGGAAATTTTACGGACGCCATCACGAGTTGGGTGACTAGGTTTCATTGATGACGACGAATATGTTCCAATTGTTGTAACCACCATCCCGTTTTCTTTTCTTCGAATGAAACCTACCGAATTAGACTTATCACCGGGTTTTTACATGCATTAGTAACATGACGGGAGCCACATGTATAGCATGATCTCCGTATCTTTCCGGAGCACCTGAGATCACTCACTAAATGGCAGCCCATAAGAGCATGTGCGGAAATATTTGACTCGAAAAGACACTATAACACTGGGTGAATACGGTACGCGTCATATGCCCTGTGAACATCATATGATAATATACGTTTGTCCATTTAATATCATAATTATATTCCCTACAAATTATTTTAAAATCTTGTTTAAAATCAAGAACTTTATTTTTTTTTCATTTTAAAACAACACACTTGCTATACATGTATATCAATTGAGCAATCGCGAACATTTAATTATATTATTTTCACCTATGGAAACATATAAACACTCAGTGGTAATTGCATTTCGGTAATTGTTGTTTCATACCACAAAATACGAGACATAAGAATCCATCATCACCTAAGGTACATGTTACACAAAAAATACCAGAGATTGGTAACCAGGCAAAATCTCGTGATGTAACGTGGCACTCCGAGATCTAATTGAATATATAAAAGTACGAATTATACGCTTAGCATAACCATCTCAAATATTGAAAGAAAAAAATACTACCTTCTCATATTTGTACGATGAAAAAAAAACAAGAAGCATAAACTATTCAAACAACGTCCTTCTTCCTGTGACTTCGTTTTAAAAGTGTTTATATTTTGATGTATAATTTTTTACTTTTATTCTAAGACTACTATGTCCTGGGACTATTATACTGACTGTCAATATATTATGTCCCAGCTATAACACACGTCTTATAGTAATATCAGTTTCATCGTTCATAATATTTTTGGTTTAAAAAACCTTTTAAACCATACTTATAAAAATGCTGGTATCACACTACAATAAGTATGTAAACGGTGTCCTCTGTGTAACAGTACACTGGACTGATATAAAAACGCGAAGTCACAGCACACTTGCAAACTAAACTGGCTATGTATATTCTTTACATGTAAAAGTACACAGCAATATTTGGGACCATGCTTGTTTGATATTAAAGATAAACGATTTTGAAGAGGGGTTGAATTAATGTTTTGGCATTTGTAACAATTTTTTCTAACTAAATTGTCAAAATTCTTAGAACGCCATCGAACGTTCAGACAATCCTTCCAAATATTTTTAAATTGCATTATTATTTTAATGTAAATATGCAATTAATGTATGCAAAATTAATTCTGTAAAATATAATGTTATTAAAAAGTAAAGAATCAATTTAGAAAACAAAAAAAACAACAAAAGTGCGCAATCTCTGGTAATATATGTCTCCTATAATCTAATCAAACCATATAGATATTTGAATTATTTTAAGGAGTATTTTGAAAAAAAATCTTATTTAACGCCATTCATGTTGCTTAGTTATTTTTATGAAAAGTCAATGAATATTTATTAAACTTACTGTAAAAATCGAACGAATCAGTTTCTTGGTGACCTGTTTTGTATATCCATATTTCTAAAAGGAAATAATATGACGCAAATTGTTCCATGATATCACTACGTATACCTACTCACTCAACTGCCGAATGCAAACAAATATTTTTTGGGGTTTGATAAAGGATAATTGGAGTTTTAGCATGCTGATTTTGACATATAATACACCACATGGAACCCCTTCCAATTAATTATTAATGCATGATTGCAAGGTATAAGGGATTAATGGAAGTCTTAAAAAGAAAAAAAAAACATTATGTTTTAAATCAACAAATAGCGGAATTTTAATAAATATTGTACACCAAAATTATCAAGAATACTTTTGACTGAATGCATTATCGACGAAGAATATTACATTAATGTTAATAAGCCTTCAAATAAACTTATCTTAACTATACATTAAATGAACATATCTACATATTTATGTAATCATTATTAACAAGTCCCCAAGTATGTGCCTTCAAATAATAAAAAAAAAACATGTATGATTACTGATAGATCATAATAAATATTTATTGTTCTTATATATATTCCGATGGCCCTTGACCTTTATATATATAAATAAAAACCGATGATAAAATCAGTGTTATGTAGTATAATAGTGGCCATTCGTTGAGAAATATCTTTTTCCGTTTAGACCCTTTACGGTAGAAATAAAACACCATTGTCACGAGCAGAAGTATCGAACTCGTTTATACAAAACATTTGAGGCATACAAGTTGAAACAGGGACTTTCTATACTAACATATATAGAAAGTCCCTGGTTGAGACAATTTTCAAAACTACTCGAACAAGAACATAATCTGGGAAGTAATCATAGTTTTTGTGGTTTAAAGTTATCGACCTTTAAAAGTATGTTATTTTTATGGTTTCCCACAATTGCCGTCATTTCCAAATGAATTTGAGGTAAACACCTTGATAACTTAATTTTATTGCTAAATCATGCAAAAGCTATTAGCACATGTAATACAAATATTCCCCTAATACTTTGTAATGTGAAGACATTATAATAGGTATGTATGCTTGGCCATTAGGAGACATTATAATAGGTATGTATGTTTGGCCATGAGGAAATCTCCAAACAAACGTGGGCATGTTAGCATGATTGCAGTGTTTGTAAAACAACATTACAAAGATATATTAACCGTATTCATGAACGGCGAAAAAGGAGGGAGAGAAGAAGGGAAACACTATGTTTTTGTCCTCACTCCTGCAAACACAAATCAGAAGAAAATTTTGCAAGTTAGCAAAAAAGTGAAAATACTAAGTATTGACCATTAAAATCCAGTAAAGTCAACTACTTTAGTAACCTTTAAAATCCAGTGGAAATATTATTACATTTTAGGTTTACTATATCCAATTTGGGGGAGATTGATTAAAAGGATGTCTCGACGGAGAACTTAAGAAATTAGAATTTAAAATGGGCAATTGAGATTTGTTAGTAACAAGTGTTTATGACGACACATTTCTATGTACATGTTGAAACATTCCAACAGCAGTTTTTCCATATTCCTGAGCTTGCGTTTCCTATCATGCTTTCCTTGATAGAGAGTTGTTACTTACAATCGAGGTATTGTACCAAGGGTTCTTATTGGTTAAGTTGAAAACATCCCTTCAAACGTTTTGCGGACAGCATCATGATTTGTTGACCGTTTTGTAGTATCTGTGTGTGTCACAGATAACCCCTGATATGTTCCAACTGTCGTAGCCTAAAACCCGTCATCTTTTTCAACACTTCAAATGTTCCATTTGTATTAAGAGTGGTCTTGCCTTTGATATAAACTTCATAAAAGTTCGACGAGAAATGGAGGTGTTAGGGTGTTTATAATGCAATGTTCAATATAAATTACATTTTTAAGAGACTTGATTCCTTTAAAAATAATAGATCAGCACTAATTTTAGCACTCACCATAGACATTGCTGATAAACCCTATGATATATAAATTCATAACAATCCTACAAGAAAAAAGGGTTTTAGAGTGCTTACAATGCAGTTTTCTATAGCATTTATATTTCTAATATTTCAAAGGGACATGCCTCCTGTAAAAATAATTGATCAGCGCTGATGTTCGAATCGTCTCAGACATTGCTGATATGAACCTTAAATATAAATTCCATGCAATCCTACAAGAAATGTAGGCTTAAGTGCGCTTACAAAGCATTTTTTCATATTATCTTATATTTCCCAACGGCCTTTAAAAATAGTTGTTTAGAACTGATTTTCGAAATTGTCCAAGACATTGCTCATATAATCCTTAATATAAATTTATAAAAAAAAACTGCAATGAATTGAACATGGGGGGGGGGGGGGGGGGGGGGGGGTTGTACTTCATGGAAAAGGCTTCTGTCTTGGTTTTTCCATGAAGGTTTGACAAAGTTATTGATGTTTCAAAAAACGGAAAGTAAGATCTCTATGTCTTGCTTTCGATACAAAATGTCACAGGATTGATACTGAAATAAGGTGCAATAAAATGAATGGAACCTAAATGAATGTATGCAAATGCAACATTACAACAACTATCAAAGGTCTGACATAAGTAATCCGTTTTAAACAATCTTCTGAAGAAAATAAAAAAAGATAAATGGGTATAGAAACAAGAGGCTCTCAAGAGCCCGAATCGCTCACCTGTAATTTTTTGCTTAAATCTTTCATCAATGATTATTTTTGCTTTTCAATATTTATAAATGATTGGCTTAAAAATGCCATTTAAATTGTTTTTGTATCTGTCATATTTTCTTCAAAAGCAAAAAATGCATTTTACCCCTATGTTCCATTTTAGCCATAGTGGCTATGTTTCTTGGCGTAAAAGGAAATAAAATAAAAAAATTATACTAGGTACTCTGAAACTCATTCAGCACAAGTTAGGTTGGAATTGATTCAGCAGTTTCAAAGAAGAAGATTTTTTAAAGTAAGCAAACTAGATGAACAAATTGTGAAAAATTGTCTTTAAAGGACTATAACTCCTTGAGGGGTCAATTGACAATTTTGGGTCATACAAAAACTTATTTGTAGATCTTACTTTGCTGAACATTTTTGCTGTTTACAGTTTATCTTTATCTATAATAATATTCAAGATAATAACCAAAAACTGAAAAATTTCCTTAAAATTACCTATTTAATGGCAGCTTGTTAGATTCATCTGAAAATTTCAGGGCTGAAAGAAATTGACCTAATGAACATTTTTACTCCATGTCAGATTTGCTCTAAATGCTTTAGTTTCTGAGATATAAGCCATAAACTGCATTTTACCCCTATGTTCTATTTTTAGCCATTGCGGCCATGTTTTTTGACGAAACAAAAAATAAAACACATACTTTATTCTAGATACCCTAAGGATTATCCAGCTTAAGTTTGGTTGGAATTGGTTCAGTAATTTCAGAGGAGAAGATGTTTGGAAAGGTGAGCTAAAAAGGATATCAATTTAAAACCGTTGTAAAACCTTGGATATTGTTTTTTATTGGTACTAAAACCAATTTTGTTTTGATAAACTAAAACATTACTAAATATGTATTTCTAATATTTATGAAAACGTATGGTCGTTATAGTGAATATATATTCTGGCATTGCACAAGGTTTATGTCTTTCTCAGACTGTTTTTGACGTCTTTACACTAAATCCGTTGGATGTATACTTATTGACACTTTAGTCTGTGAGAACATGATTTATTCATTTGTTGTTAATGGTTTTGAATTAGCTTTCAGTAACTGCGAGTTCTCTGTGTCTTTATGGTAGTTGTTTTGTGCTTCGTGCCAATCTGATGAATCAAACTATTCCAACTTATTTTTACAGTCTGTTCTTATGTTTGGCAGTTACACCACTGTCCCTGGCTAATAAGAGGGTTGATGTTTAACTACCCACATTCTATATTGCATGCTCCAAGTTAGGAGCCTGTAATTCAGTGGTAATCGCTTTTACTGTCCGTCATATTTGTTTTTTTTGGGTTTTTTCTTAAATCAGGCCGTTTGGTTTTTTTTCGTTTGTATTGTTTTACATTTTATCATGTCGGGGACTTATAGCTGACCATACGGTATGGGTTTTACTCATTGTTGAAGGCTGTATGGTGATCAATAAGTTGCATGCTTAAATCCATGTCATTTGTCTCATTTGCAGTCATACCATATCTCTTCGTTTTATACTTATGACGAATTTGCTATGATTGTCTTTGCCAAATAAGGTTAACCTTTATATATAGTAAGTGAGAAATTTACCTTATTCCGAAAGCCTTATACAAATATTCTACGTCTACGTCTCACCTTTAGCAATCTCATTTAAATTAAATCTTTCACTTTGTTCGTCGCTCGTGTCTAATGCAGCAAGGTGAAAGATATGATTTTAATGAGATTGCACCTTAATCAAGATCCGTCAAAGGCATGACGAAACTACTACAGCATGGAATCGAGATTGATGGACGCTAATTCAAATGAAAAATCAAGTACTTTACTTATTACCATTATGACTGGTGTTTAAATGACAACTGTCAATGGAAAAGTGAAGCCTGAACATCGAATGTGTTAGACAAAACTCTATAAACTAATATAATATTTAAATTCCATGCTTATTGTGTCAACACAATCTTCTTTTGATTTGCATAAAAGCTGAAAACGGTTGAAATTTTAGAAAATCAATGGTCTAAAAAAATTGTTTTAAAAATAAGGAGATGTGGTATGGTTGCCAATGAGACAACTACAATGTATCCACAAAAGTTCAAATGAAGTGAATGTAGGCATTATAGGCAACTGTATGGCCTTCAACAATGAGATGAGAAAAACCCATACCGTATGGTCGGCAATGAAAGGTCCCGACATGAAAAATATAAAACAACTCAATTGAGAGAACTAACGTTTTATATTATAACCAAACAATTTACGAAAAACAAATGTGACAGACATGAACCAACGACAACCACTGAACTACAGACTCTCTGCCAAGTGCGGGGTTCGAACTCACAACTTCAGTGTCGACAGGCTAGTGATACGATACTGTAGATGAACAACTTAGACCACTCAGCCACCGCGAACCCCAAACTCCAATTAAAATGGTCAAATCAAAATAACAGTATGATATAGACTAAGTCATCAAC